CCCCCCCCCCCCCCTCCCCCCCTCTAAAATCAATTCTCTCCTGGAGAACGTCTTCGTGAGCCTCTCATGATTTCAGGATAGTTGAAACCCTCTTGAACATTTAGAAAGAGTGAATATGAAATTCTAATCACGAAAGGTGTTCCCCGAGGGGATACATACCTAGAGTTTGTTTTGTGAAGCACGTCAATTCTCTCCTGGGGAGCGTCTTCGTGAGCCTCTTATGGTTTCAGGATAGTTCAAATCCTATGATGTTCCGATTCAATGCTCACCGATGATCTGAGCCATGGGGCAAGTTTGTTTTCCTAAGAACCTTTTGGAACATTTCGAGAGCATATGTTTGAACATTTAGAGTGCATATGAACATTTACGAAAGGTCGCCTCCGAGGGGATAAATCACCATGTCGAACATTGCATTTTGTTCCTGCCCCTCGCGTTCTCTTCTCTTCCCGCTGTCCTACCTTTCGTGTCTCCCTCCTCTCAAGTGGCACTAGTACCCCCTCGGCGCTGATGTTTGGACTCCGACTCCAAAGCAGCTTGTAAAGATGAAACACCAGATGCCTAAGATCGGAAAAAAACTCGGGAGCAGGTAGGCAGCAGGTATGCAGCAGGTGTTCTTCCCTTTTTGCCAGAGTTCCTTTGAGATTGTCAAATAGTCAAACATCTTTTGTCTCCAAACGGGCTGGCGAAGCCCGATGGGCTGTCAAAGCCCCTGACGGGATGGCGCTGAGAAAAGGAGGGGCCCGCGGCTTCACAGAGCACTTAGACACTAGAAGCTCTAGCAGTTCTGGTGGTGGCGGTGATGCAGGTAGGAGCGATAGTCGGACGGTCATAGCACTTGTCCTCAAAGCAGTTCTAAAGTGTCCCAATCATCGCTGGCCTAGTCGTCGAAGTGTGGTAACTAACACTAGAACCTGATGCCTGATGGTGCTGGAAGCAGGCATGTAAAGAAACAACGGCAACAATATGCCGAGCAACAAAGCACATTCCAGTAAGGCAGCAAAACAAAGCACGTCGGGACCCACTTTCTAGATAGAAGTGTACCCAAATGCTCAAATGCCACCGGAAGTTGAATGAGATGAAAGTTGACGTCTTGTGGTCGTTGTGTAGTATCAGGGGTCTCCGTGAGGGCTGCCGGCCGGCCCAATCCACTACTAGTGACTAGTGATCTTTTGATTCTTCTCCTGCTAATACAGCCGCAACGAGCACCACAGCAGCAACTGCTCAGACCGCCTTCGATGTTCGGATGATGTCACGCTCGCATGGATCGGGTGTGGCTGGTGGTTTTCGCATGCCTGTCAGTACTACTTAGATGATTCTGGATGATTAAAGGAGTGAGGGTCAGCTGGGTCAGAAGACCCTAAAAAGGATGCTTTTTCAACACCTGGCCTTGCATCCACAGTACCTGGAACCGACGATTTGGGAATGAAAGGCGTGGCCAGCTGAGGCACGCATGACCACAAACACTTCCAGGAGTGATGAGGGTCATCCCTGTGGGTGCCATGCTCAGGTGCTTCTGGCAGTTGTGATGCTGTGGCCGCTGGAACGAAGCAGCTGCCACGGGTAGTGCGATCGTATGTGATGGGGTTCAGGATTTCCAGCCTTTTGCTTTGGTGGTGGATCCACTAGGGGTGTTGGGAGGTTATTTATTCTAGTTATATATCGGCCATAGCCATAGTCTTTTTGCGTGAAGATTGACATCCTGCAGATGATTCCCCGTTTGTATGTTGGAGGAAGTTGTTTCAGCTGGGAGATTGTTGAAGTGGAGCACTTTCATTTCCGGCTCAAAAGTATCATTCTAGAACCAGCCAAATGTTCATTCAGTTGCACAATGAGGGCCAAAGGTTTGCATCTCAAGATGCCGCAAGTTGAATGATTCAGATTTCAAGGTTTCCTCCAAAAGAACTTCTTTACTCGCCCCGCAAAGCCTTCTTACCAACCCGGCGCTGCTTCAATTCCTTCCTTCCCTCCCAGGAAGGGCGAGGTTTTCCCCGCAAACTACTGGGCCAGCTTCTTGGAGTCCAGGTGTGGAGACAACGGTGTCGATTTGAGACAACGGTGTTGCGATGCCCCCCATCGGACCGGAGCGGCTCATCGTGGCGCATGGCTCGGCCGGTCGGGTAGTCCAGTGTGTGAATGGTGAGTGGACCACGCATGGGATATGGAAATGAGTTGATTGGCCAATGGAATGAGTTGATGAATGTTGATGATGTATGATGGACATGAATTGACCATACATGATGTTATATGGAAATGAGTTGATTGGCCAACATCTTTGTTTGAACCCGATTGCCAAGCTCTTGCTCAAATTCGGTCGGTCGTATGCCACCGTTGGTTGGCCAATCGAATTGAAACGCGTCGTCTCGATCACGGTTTGGACCATCACGAGGACCACTCTGCCGACCCTGAAATTCTTTGAACTCTTTGCCCGTGAGCAAAGACCTGCACCCCAAGCAGGTCTTTGCCAGCCTGCGTGGCATGCCTTTGCATCTTGAACCTTGGAAAGCCATACTTCACCCAAAAGGCCGGAGTGGGAGGGGCAGGTGACACTGAGGGGCACAAGCCTCGTGGTAGCTGGGATGCTAGTTTCTATGGCAAGTGCTTTAGGCGGCGCCAGTGTAGTTGGGAGTGTTGCAATGGATTGCAAAGTTCTGGACCTCAGCAGTGGGATGTAGCCAGGTACAGGGTAAGATAGCAATTAGTTGGGTCTGTCCCGTTACCTGGTCATAGGATGCAATAGGATGGACCCAAGCAATTAGATTGCACTAGTATTGGTTTCCTGATGTGTCCTGCAAATACCCAACAAAATTCAGTGGCTTGTGGGCTCGGCAGGGGAACCCCGCCGATCGACACCGCCCTGCCGTGATGCACAAGCTGCGCAGACTGCGCCCCTTTGATCGACACCAACCGTCGTCGACCAACTGTGACCATAAACCATGAATGTAGACTGTAGACATGGACTGTTGATCAATAATAGTCAATCATTGTTTTCTTTCAACCACATGTTGGTGAACATTTGTGCATGCGATGATTTTGGTCACGGCGGCTCATTGTCGCCTGCCCGATGACTGAGCCCAGCCTTTAGGAGCAAAAGCGAGCCTCACCGAACACGCAAGAGCCTCTAGGACAACGAGAGAACACGTTGTGGAACACGTCAACAACCACTGCCACAGGTGAAAAACAGGAAAAAAAGAAGCACCATCCCTCAGACCATGTGCATGCAACGAGCCGTGATGTCGCTGTGATGGATGACCTGCCCGAAGCAACACCACTGCCAACCTTTGGCTCCGCAGAAGAGGCAGGTGTGGGAGCATGGCAGCATCGTGGTCAGCTTGGGGACAGTCGTGTTGAAACAGCTCCCTGAACAAAATAGTAATAGTTTTATACCAACATAAGTCAATCACAAAGAATAGATATAATAGACTGGAGCTCCTGCATCCATATTTCCAACATCGAGGGGGCTTCGTCCGACCTTCATCCGTTGGAGTCATTTATGTAACTCCAACTGGCCAGGCCTTGGCTCCCGACGAGGTGCATGTGGCAGATGGGGCGGACGCGGACGCGGACGCTTCGCCGGCGGTGTCGCTGGCGGAGGAGGGGCCCGGCGATGCGTTCTTCGCCAAGGACGTGGAGGAGGACTTCGAGGACCTCCAAACACAGGCAGGGTACAGATCCCTACACTTTGTGCCGTATCAAGCAATACCTGTCAGTAGTAAGTTATATAAATGTGGATGGAACACTGTGAGATACATCAACGGTAGGATGATTTATGCAAGGTGCCTCGATAGATGATGCTCCATACATGCAACTGTTACAGGTGGTCTCCTTCCTGTCTCAGCTGCCACCACGGGAAGGCCGTCAGGCTGGCAGCAATTGGCGGAAGTGGATGGAAGTCACATAGCTCACTTGGCTGTTTGGACCTGAAGTGAACTCAGATGGGCTCTAGCCAGGAGAATGTGGAGTAAAGGGGTGCTGGATTTGCAGGGACGTCAGTTTGGCATGGGAAACAGCTTTCTGTTTGCCGGACGTTTCCTCGCAGTTGCGTGCAGTTCACAATCCCCAAGCGCCCCTCCCCCCCAAGCAGGGAACGTGGGACCGGCATGGAGGCTCCAAGAAATTGGCCCAGTTTTACGGTCAACTACCTACAACATCCTACAACTACAATCCCTCAGACTTCTGCCGCACCGGACTTTGCTTGGAGTGGCGTTGTGGCGCCGCGACAACGGCCGCCGCGTTGGGCCGCCGATGGATGCAGGTGCTCGACCGGCTTCAACGACGCCTGGCAGACGGAGAACCTTTGAGCGCGCGGAAAGTGGCCGACCAGGTCGACGAGCGCGGCACCCCAAGTCAACGACGGTGTCCAGCGCCCGAGCCAATCTCCACCGGGAGTTGCGGGATTTTGTGGGTGTCCATGTTTGTCCTTTTTATAGTCATATTATTATGTCATATTAGAATTACACCTTCTTATATATCTTTTTATGATTGCAAGGATTTTTGGCCTTGAGGCCTAGTACACAACGTCATTTCAATGGAGTTGTTTTTTGTATTATATATTGAATGACTTTTAGTTGGCCATTACTATTTTGGTGTGTGTTGCACAGCTTCAATGGCATGTTAGTAGAGGCATGATATTCTTTTTGTGTGGCCAGACCTGTTTTGGTGTGGCCAGATGATTGTCATTAGTCAATTTGCTGGGTGCTGAGGTGGTTTGAATCTTTTGGTTGAGGCATCGCCCAAAGGGGTGTCAATTGGTCCTGTCGGGCCGCCATCGCGCGCCCAACTCTTTTGACCACACCCTTGTTGGAGCTCAATTGGGGCATGGATATTGGGCCCGGCCGCTAGAACGTTTGCATGTGTTTCCGAGAACCGACTCAAAGAGCTTGGACCATCCCTCACGGTGAAGGCGACACACTGAGGTCATGCGAGTTCCTGGCTGAACTCTTGGCCTTTGGCTACTCGCACCGCAGAAGTTGTGGGGGTACGGGGCACTAGTCGGGGCGGCCCATCGTTGGAATCCATCGAATGAGTTGGGCTGATCCTCGAAGTCACCCAGGATTGATCATGATTGATCGAATTGTTCCATGAATCATTTCCATCAATACTATTACACTCCCGAGAACTAACATGGAAGTGGACAATTGCCCCTTGGAAGACCATTTTCCTTTGCACTGAGATTTTCCACTTCCATGTTAGTTCCAGGGAGTGTATACAGTTGTTTTTGGATGGAACTGCGAGGCTGATGGGATCCTTTTTGGAAGCATGACTGACTATACTAGTTACTTGCTAGTGCTTGCTGCTTCAATTATATGCCCACAATATTCAGTAGTGTTTGATTCCATGCCACAGGATTCAACGGGCCAAAGTAGTGACCTGACCCCGTGGCTGAACAATGGCATTGTGGTGGGAAGGATGCTGTCTGATGTGGATGAGTCAACACAATGTATAATTACATTACAGATAATGAATTCATCAATTTCCCTGTCTGGCGCCTGTTTTACACCTTTTTTTTGCATGTGTTTACTGGAAAGTTCCTGAATCCCTAGGCCGCCGTGAAACCATCGCCAGTGTTTTGGACAGTGTGGTGGGGCGCTCCACGCCAGCAGCAACTGCCGGAAGCGATGACCTGTTAGATGAGTTCCTCCGATCACGCCGCGCACGACGGCTGGAGCCGGTGCAGACGTGGAACGCCTGGGAGGAGCACTTTGCTGATGGGCGCAGGCGGAAAGTCATCCGCTCCATGTCTGTTTGATGCCTTTACGCTGTTTGGTGGCGAATGTCGTTCATATTTAACTACATGGAGCATTTCGGGATCACATGGGCCAGAAAGACTACCCTGCCCAATCACTGAATGTTGACTTATTTTTGGTCTTGAACGATGTCGTCACATCTGAGGGAGTCAGTGAGTCATAATTCATGCTAGCAAACTCTAGGCAGGGCACAGAGGAGTTTTTTGTCAATAAGACATGTCTTTTTTTGAGAAATTAATCAGGTTATAGCTTGGTCCTTTCGAGGGCTGAACTTCAACGCTTTTCGCCACACTGCACGGCAGAGATCCACCTGGTGCAGATACGTCCCTCGGCCGATGCCTGACCGCCGCTACCTGCTGTGGCAGGTACTTCTACAACAACGACATCCAGCGGACCCAATGGCACGTCCCGGAGGGATGGCCGGAGAGCGAGCAAAAAGGAGACGCCGAACGAGAGAGTGCTGGACCCGGCACCGGAGAACACCAGGTTTGGGCAGTGCTAAGCATGGGGAGTTGTCTTGGAACTTGGAACCCTAAGACATACACTTTGACTTACGTTCCATGGAATTTGGGAGGGCATGGTGCGTTGGAAGACTACTTTTTGAATTTCCTTCACGAACAGCGGGGGGGGTCACACTTCCATGGAACGTGAGTTTCACATCCTAATCCTTCACTTCCAGATCCAGCAGCAAGGTATTGGGTTTTCCGGGTTTCCCGCATGTTCAGGTCTTTTCTAAAGTGCATCGACTTTCTGAGTGGTTCCAATCATATTATAGTAAATTGTTAAGTAATGTTAAGTATATACAGTTCATTGGTTTCCTTACTTAACCTTCTTTAATGTAATGTGTTGAATTAAGTCTTAAAGCACATTGGCTTATTGTATTTAAATTAAGTCTTAAAACGCATCAACGTCCGGAAGTGTTCAAAACATGTTCAAAACCATTTGAACAACCCTGTTTCAGTTGGATTTGGGTCAGGGACTCCACTGGGCGTTTTCTCAGGTCGATTTGAAAGAGAGGTGGCGTCTAGGTTGACACAACTTTTCTCCAACTGCGCAGGTGTCTCCAACTCTGTTGGCTTTGGGCACCAGCATCACAATCATTGCCATCGCCATTTTGCAGAGGTGCAGTGGAGTCCTGCACTCAGAGGTGCGAATTTGTGGCAGTTGTTTACGGCACGGTCTTGCGGTGGGTATGCTGGTGTTCCGCTGCGACACATTTTAATATGAAGTCAGGAACTAGCTTCAGCGATGCTGTTTGAAGTCATTGGCACCCATTTGTTAATGGTCCGCGGTGAGTATAAATAGTAGATAAAGTATGGTGCAGTATAATATATATATATATATTTATATGGGCCTCTCTTTCAGGGAAAGCTGAGCTGAACTCCGAGGTTGTCATACCAGTAGCAGTCGGTTAAAGATTATCACTACTCTTGAGAAAGGCCTTTACTGACCACCATCATTGAATCATCAACTATTTCTGGCAATGGGATATGCCCAAGATGTCTACTCGTGTGTGTGTGTGTGGATTTTGTATGGTAAGCTTTCACCCACTGTTTGCAGACCGTTGGTTTGCAGCTGCCCCTTGATCAGAGTTGGGTGCACGCTTGAGAGAAACGTGTTTCTTTGTTCCAGATGCGGCGGCCATGATGCATGTCATATGGCAAACTGCGACAACCTCCAGCCGCCAACGCAAACGGTCAAAGGCATGGTGCATGTCGCAGCAGTCATCAATCACCACGCTCGGGGATTCCGCACGGAAGACTGAGAAGACTGAGAGGACCACAAGCGGCACCCTCATGACCACAAGATAGAAGGCTGATTGATGCACTAGGACCCACAAGTTGTTAATGGACATTAATGTCAGTAACCTCCAAGAGGTCATTAATGGACGCCCCTGGGGAGCGGTACCATGGATGTTTTCATTGGAGGGACCTGACAATTGTAAGGTCGTTTTGGTGGAGGGTGTCGAAGGTGTGCATGTAGCACTGACCCTGGGAAGTCCATTTGAAAACATTGAATCTGAAATGCACATTGCCTTGGTGCTGGCGGTTCTTTTAGCTACGTATATAATTATTTGTTTGTGGTTATTTACCAGGCTACCGCCTGCAGCCGCCGACCCCCAAGGGATAGAACCTTAGCGCTAGCCTTGCTCTATGTTAGCCTTAGCCTTAAGCCTTAGCCTTAGCCTTAAGAGTGCAGACCCAACCCAGCACGACCAAAGCAGGTACCCAAAAAGACAAAGCCTAGAGCATTCCTAGGAAAATGCCAGAAAAGCCTTTGAAAATCTCATAAACCAACAGAAAACGTGACAAAATCTACCAAAAAAAACAAGGGCATTGGCCGGGACCATGCCGCGACCAGCCCGGGATTCGAGCCCAGGACCATTTTGGACCGTGCTTATTTTCCCGCGCGGGTCGAGAGGGTGCCCCAAGATGTGAATCAATTGGGATGGCAGAATCTTGGACAATTCCCGGGTCGCTCAGGTAGCTTTCAGGGCACAATTTCGTAACTCCAACAAGGGTCCGGAGGGGTAGGGGAGGTAAGGTCTAGGTCTAGGTCTAAGGCTAAGGACTAGGTCTGAGGCTAAGGATAAGGCCTAAGGCTAAGGCTAAGGCTTAAGGCTAAGGCTAACATCGACAGTCACGCCTCACCCCACGGTGTGGGGTCGGCGGATTTGTTTGTTCAACCCAGGTTGCTTTCACCCATGCAGATGGTGTGTGTGACGTGCAGTGTTTGAAATGTTCAGATGGATTGCGTTTCAGCCTGCCGTTAGGGAGGCTCACATTTTTTTTTAAATGGGCGGCTAGCTAGCGAGCCAAGGCCCTGGCAAAGCCTACTTGGCAGGAAGTTGCTCAGGCAGGGGGAACCTATAGGTGGTTTTGACAGACTAACCACGACCAACCCTAACACAAGCAAATTGTTGTTTTGCCTTTTCTTTGAATTGTTTTTCTCGGCATCCCTGGTGCCCGCCGAAGATGGAACGCGGTCTGGCCCACAGATGATCCGGAAACGCCCCCAAACTAACTCGACCCTAAGCCTGGAGGTGTGCAATGTTAAGCTTATGGGCTTAAGTTAAGCCCATAAAACATCATTAGCGCTCAGGGGGGCAAACTGCATTTAGTTTCCAATGGACCCAAATCCAAATGACATATATATTTGGAATCGCAAGCTTGAAGTCTAGACATGACCTCTTGGATCCAATCTTTGCAGGTGATTCTTAGCCTGGTGGCAGCTGGGCTGCATGCCCTGGACCTGGCGCAGGCAGCAATCGGATGTTTCAGTCGGTGATGCGTGGTTGGGTGTGCCGTGTGTTAAACCATGTTTTTGGCATCACCCTGGCCTTCCAGGTTGCCGCGCACGTTGTTCCTTTTTGATCCATTTTGGATAAGATGCTGCTTCAAAAAAGATTTGCACTGTGCCATAAACACCTCTCCTGGCCCATCTCAGATGGTCTTTGCCCCTCTGGCTTTCGCCAGGCACCTGCCAAGGCCAAGGTGGTCAAAGCGCCCAAAACGATGACGCCAAGCAGCAAGGCGGCTGTTGCCAGGCAGGTGGTGGCTTGTTTTGCGCCATCTCGAATAACTGACAAGATCTCAATCATTTCACATTGTGCAAGCAAAATATTGGCAGGAACCAAAAGCATGACCATGGATTCGATAACAAGCTCTCCCCAATGCAGCCTGCGCAAGGAATCCGAGCAAAGACCCGTTGTGCCACATGGAAGAAACATGAATTAACCTTGGGTTTGTCCTATTACCTGCAACAGTCAGTAAACAATTATGGAACAAGGCACGAAACTGAACCATCATCCGCTGGGCCCAGGTAATGGGGCCAAAAGATCCAACCATGGTCCACCCGTGGGCCCCACCAACGACTTTGCGCGATCTTCACACGCTGAGAACCGGTGACCCGATAACCATGGCTGAGATATCGACCAGAGACAAAGCTTCCAAATAAAGGCGCGTTCCTTTTCCAAATGAGGCACTGAAACATGCACATGACATGCCCTTTTTTCCACTTCCACAACATTTTCTATATAGGGGTGGCGTACCCGGGTTACCCCCATTTGTTGCAGTTTGCTGAAGGAGGCATCGAAAGACACTCATTTTGGTGCGTGTCTGACTAATTTGCTGTCCTCTTTGAATCTAGAGTTTCCAACGCCCCTGTCATTGTACAGCAGTATATGCTTGGACATCCATCCATCCATCCAAAACGAGTTCGCGTTGCACCAGTCGTACAATTCGGGGCATGTCGGAAGTGCCGGGTGCTGGTACGCCCCAAGTCGCGGAACTCGCTGGTGTAACGATGCAGGCCCAAAGCCAAGAGCATCCTCGAGCCGAGGGTCATGAAGAGGCATGGGCCTCCGATGGCCAAAGCCTTCGGACGGATGAGAGATGGACTGAGGCCCTAGTGACATCCTAGTGTTCACTTCCTGTTGATTTGATCAGGCTAATCTGTGACCCCCAGTCAGCATCTTAAGCATCAAAGGCGGCCACTTCTTCCAGAACTGGCAGAAATAATGGGCACACCTTAGGAAACCTTGACACAGCGCAATCCGAGGGAACCCAAGCTTCAAGACTTTGTGAAGCAAAAGTTGGCCCCCACAGGTGGCGTCAAATTTGGTTCCTTTTTGACTGACACCGCCCTAGTCCTCAAAAGGCACAATGTCACCGCTCTAGTGCACACCAATTATGCTTTTCAACTACCCTTTGGACATCCCTATTCCTTTTTGACTTGACCATGTCTTCCACAACTTGGTATGCGGAGGGCCTGTATGGCTTGTTTGTAGTGGCTATGATGCATCCTTCCTGCGTCAGACCCAGGTTCAAGTTCGGGGGGCACACTAGGCGGACAGCCAGCCCACTACCCCACCCCTGCAGCTAAGGGGATGAGCTAGGGTGTGGACTGTTAATGCACAACAGTAAACACAACAACTTGGTAGGTTAGGTGCGGGACTAGTTTCAGGTGAGCTACGGAGCCTGTGGGTGACTCATCTCTCATCCAGGTTCAACGGTTCAAGGCAGACCGGAGGGCTGGTCTCCGCGTCTGGCATAGAACGGTGGGCATCAGCACCGGTGGGCATCATTAACTCTCTTAGTTGTGTAAGTGTGTTCTAACTATAACTACTGGACTGCAACTGTTGACCGAGTTATGTGTTCTAACATGCATGTTTCTATTCTAACTGCATGTTAGCTGTGCCCACTTCCACCTTCCAGGCCGCCCTTTCCATTGCCCCCTCGGAAATGGACCTCTACGACTTCCAGTGAGGACGGGCGTTGGACCGAGACGGCTGCACGCGGTTTGCCGGCTGCAGCAGTTCCCGGTGATGTCTGTGATGATGCGAATCTGTAAAGATTTTCTGGTTTGTTTGGTGCTCAAAAGCAGGTGGATTCTACAAGAGACCTATGCGGTCTCTCCCAAAGGTTTCTCAACAGTTCTCTTTTGATTCCTCAGTTTCTTTCAACTCCTTCGCCTGGCGGTCTTCCTCGCGCAGGTGGGGAGCACCATGGCCAGCAGTGGCCACAGTGACGCGGCTGACTCGGAGGGCGATGGCATTTGAGCTTATGCGCGTTCCCAGCGGAAAAGAATGCCTCCACCAGGGTGGGTTGATCTAGGTTTTGTCAGTTCTTGCTGCCATTAGAGACGGACGGAAAGGAAGACAAGTCCTTTGCAGTCCAAGTCAAAAGCAACATACTGGTAGTTAAGAAACACAGTTTTGCCTACTGCTTAATAGTTACGGCTGAACAGCAAGCCATCCAGATCAGAGAGGCTTGCCAATTGTTGCGGAGTATGAGCACCACGTGCAAGTCATTGAGGTGAAGAGGAGAACACGGTGCATTTGTGCTGACGGAAGGTTTCAGCCCCTGATTCCAGGTGTTTCCTTGGTTTGCAAGGTGGGGTGATGTACCAATTCAGTGTCGACCTGACGAAAGGAAGAAACTGGTGGGAGTCTTTGGTATGTGGGTCACAGATGGTCACCAGATTTGGTGTCTCAGATGGTCACCTGGTTTCAGAGTTGTTTGCGTTCGCCATGAATTTCTGTCAATGACTTACATCTGTCTGTCTCGTCTCTCTCCGTGATGGTGGCTTGGGTTGGTGCTGGCCTCTTTGGCGGTTGGGTGCGGCATCTATGGCTCCAGCTTTTGCAGATTTAGCACTCTTTCGGATTCAGGAACCAACCGGCTGTACACAGCTGAAGGCAGGTTTAGAAAAGAAAGGCCTCTTGCTCCTCTAAGAGAACGACCACAACTCATCCCCACAACTTCTGGAAGGGTAAGCAGTCGTGGTCCATCACATGCGCGTCCGGGTCCCGCCGTTGCGACCCGGACGCCCACCGAGCGACCCCGAGATTGGGCGAAGTCGACCAATGGGAGAGGTCTCGCAGGGAATCTCATGAAGGGCATTCTGGTGAACACGAAGCGCAGAAGCAAAAGAACGCTTAGACATGCTTATACTAAATGAAAGGCATAGTTACATCAGGAACTTGAAGAGTCCATTTGATTTCATTCCTTTAGTCCCGGTCCCATGGGCGAGTCCCGCGATCGCTCCACAAGCCCGCGAGGGGTCATTGCTGCTCAGTCCTAATAGGGGGTGAGGGTATGGAATCTGGATGGGAGGGCCACCAAGGACAAGGATGCATATCAGGAGCTCGATTCCCGCTGGCGAAGAGTGCGCAACTGGGACTGAAGGGGAAGGGGAAAAGAACAGAGGTTGAAGCCATTATTTGAGGTTGGGACTCGTTCAAAGAGGGTCGTGGCTTAGTCTCGGAGTCTGGGAGCCACATCCTTTTGCTATGCAGGAACCGATGCTGCCCCAACGCGCCAATTTGATTTAGAAAGGGTTCCATCCACCTAATCCCACGGCAATCATTTGAGCCATTGAACTGACTCTGGTATACGACATTTTGGTGGGGAGAGGAGAATACGGCGATACGGAGAGCTAGAGAGGGAGATAGCATAGTGGCAGGCCTATGGACATAGTGGCCAAGGCCAGGTTTTGCCGCATTTTGCCTTGGAGGCCCTTCCGTGTAACTTTCAAATCTGCCGATTTTTTAATAGCATTGTATCTCGGTTTGCGACCTATTGGAAGGAGGGGAGACGAGGACGACGGACCGGCATCACAGTGCTCTGGACCTCTCCGTGCTTCGTGTTTGTTCGGCTCTGTTTGGCCGCGCAGGTGACCTGGAATCGTCACTTGGGGAAGATCTCCTCACTTCGACGGAGGACCCACGCTGCCAAGCACTCGCGGACGGCAAGGCTTTCCGCCGCTGGGGACCGGAAGAAATGTGAGATCCGCACGTCCAATCTTTTGGGTGCATTTGTTCCTTTGCAGGTGTTTATATAATTTATATAATGGTTTTGCTTTGTTTGCTTTCTTCTCCACGACTCGATTCCTGGATTGATGATTCAAAGAATTTCAGCGGGGGGTGGATTCTAAACCATCTAGAGCCCATTGTTGCTCATGACTGATTGCCATAATCCACGGGTGCTGAAGAAGCAAAGGGCTTCATCACTTGCTTTCTCATCTGATCAGAACTCCAGAGCCATCGTCACACCAAGGGCTGGTATGCGATGCTGTGGACCAAGAGGCCTACCTAATTCCGGGCCTCTTGAGCGTCTCGCTGCAACAGTTCTTAGATTCTTTCTTCTGAACGTTGTGTAGGAAGGGGTGGCCCTTTTGTGAAGTAGAATGTGCTAGGATCTTTTTCGACGTGGGACTGTCAACTGGAGCCAGTGAAACAAACATTCCTCTATGAATTCACATGCAATCGTACAGGATTTTGGCTCGCCCACCTTGCTATTGGTCACCTTGCTATTGGTCAAAATTTCCTGAAACCAAATAGCCAGTGGCGAGAACCAAGTGCCGGCGGCGAAAACCAATTATTCAATAGGTGACTCCTCGTGGAGTTGGAATGAAGGAGACAAAAAAAAGGGACTGATGTTGCCAATGTGTTGCAAGACTCTAGCTCACAATACCCTCGCCGCTAGCTACAAGGCGGTCTCGAAGATCACAACAATTCCAACGATCTTGGAGAGAAAGCAGCTACTAGTTGCTGCGGCCAAAAGAGAGAAGTTCCCTCACGCCGCAGGGTTATGCATGTTAAACCAAACATATTAACTTAGTGGTTTCATTCCAACAGACGACCAGGTTACCCTTCCAAGTGTGTTGCATGCGTGGCAGGAAGACACGTGTGAGGGCAAATGACGCTTAGTGTTGGTCCAATGATGTCCAATGTGCGATTGAAATAGTGCCCCTAGTAGTGCCCCTGCAAATCAAGCTCCGGATTAATCATGATGTTTATATTTGTTCATGAATCACTTGGCCCTCACCTTTGAACGTTTAAGTTTTGACCGCAGGTCTTTGTTTGCGAGTCCACCATCGAGGGCATGATATTCTGCTACAGAATGCTGGAAAACCTTGATGAAGCGAAAACGTATTATGACATTCGAACTGCCGGGGAAGCACCTGCTGATAGCTTACGTCAACATTTAAGAGCGCCTCATAACTTTTGCGGGGAGGATTGCCCCTAGCTCTCATTTGGTGTAGGAGCCTTGGCCTTGTTGGCTTTTTCACCATGACCAAGGCCTACAGGAACAGTGTGACTTGCTGAAGCTTGTTTGTCCTTAGCAAATTTGCAATGTTTTTTGAGTCCCGGCCAACTGGTCTACATTCACAAATTCCACACATTCAGAAATTTTGCCACTCACATTCACTGGCGTTCCGCAACTTTGACGGGTGCTTGTGTACGGTTATTGTGTCACTAGTAGTCCTATAGTTAGCCTTAACAATTCTGCCGTCTACTTTCAATAAGGTTTTGCTTGCACGGCCCGACCGACGGAGTGCGAAATGTGGGGCCCGACCTTAGGATTTCCGGTTGCGGTGTCTGCAGAAATTGAAATAGCAGGTTGCGGTTGTGGTCAGGTATACCTCGATGTTTCCGCCAAATGATAGCTTTTAGCAGTGATTTCTACGGTGGTGGCGCACCTTGGAAGTATCACCTCATAAGACCACGTAAGGCAAGGATTCCTTGCCCTCGGGCCAAAGGGCTGGCCGGACTATATGGTTCTTAAGTGAGCAAACCTCATCAAGATGGAAGATTAGGAAATGTATGGAAGTCAACCCTTCCAAACTGTCCAGTGCCTAACAATTCCACGTGTGGCAGGGTGTTGCCACCTCTTCCTTCGTTTCCCTTCCTAGCGGCTGCCGACCTTGTGAGGAATGCCTTACTCACTGACTGGGCTTTGCCGCCCCACCGCAGTAACCTTTGCCAGTCGTCCGAGGCACCGGTCTTGGACCGGGTTCCCGTTTGGGTGAAACACATGGAGCGAGGGCCGGTCGTTCGGCCCTCGGTTTTTGGGCAGATGTTTTGGGATTATGTTTGGTCAAGTGACCGGGGATGGTCGACCTGAAACAATGACTAGGCCTAGGTCAATTAACATCAATTAACTATGGTATGTTGCTAGCCATTGCTAGCAGACAAGATTTGGGATAGTTGATGTTCCCTAATTCAGCTCCGGAACATCAATGATGTTCCGGAGCCAGTCATACAAATGAGCCAGAATCACAGCCAAAAGTTTCCCTGCTCAGCTCCACACCCTGCATTTTGACGATGCAATGTCAATACACAAAGTTAACTGCAAGCGATTGCTAATTTAATCATTTGCATACTGCCAGACAAATTACAATGTTGGGTTGGTGCTCACACTCTGTTTGCCGGAAACTAATTCTAAACACTCTTCGGACTTGGAGGGCCTTTAATGAGTGCAGAACGTGCAGTTCACCCTGCTAAACATAGTATTTACAGTTCCCCTTGAAGCGACGAAGCCGCCTTTCATACAGGCAAGTTGGCTGAAAGATGGCCTCAAGAAGTTTTGCGAAGAGAGCGCCTCAGCCACATTGAAGTTGCCTTGGATTTGTGCTTGCTTGCTCATTGGACAGGTGAAGTGCACTGCTCACTTTGAAGATTAAGAAGCAAAACCGGACTTTTGAGTGCTTTCGGTGATGTAATCAGTGGTGTGCAGGACTGAAAAGTTGTCGCCATGGGATGCCTTCTTTTGTAAACCACTGGCGGCATCATCATCCCCCCCGCTTTGTGCAGTGGCCCTTTGAGGTGTGGGCCGGGGGAAGTTTGACAAAGTAGATTCAGATAGCATAAAACTGAACTTATGATATATACATATATATATGTATATATACACCTTGAGTCTCAAATTTGCCTTTCCAAGAAAAAGAGGTTTTTGAAACAAAACACTCTTTTTTGCATATGGAACAAAATGTTCCTTTTTTGTTTGTCCCCTGTCAGATCCTCCTATAGACAGTGTCCTAAGACCTCTTTTTGGCGTCCAATACGCGTCTTTTTGCGTCCAAAAGGCGTTTTTTGAGCATCCGCACCGGACGCGTCCGGATGAAGATTCACTCTGTACCTTTTTTTGATCAAAAACGCAAAAATATTAGACCCAAAACAAAAACGCATAAAAAGGTCTTTGGAGACTCAAGGTATAAGTACCATCTCTTTCATTGGGATCGCAAGGATCCAGGATACATTAAGGTGACCCCGACGAACCCTGGTTCGGGGTGGGGAT